CCGCCCGACGAGCAGTACCTGCCGGCCGACCCCCGCGACCCCCGGGCCTTCCACCAGGTCCCCGTCATCGCGGGGGTGGCCGACCAGGACGGCACCCTGACTCTGTGTGAGTGTCGATGGGTGCTACATCGCAGCAGGTTACCAACACTCGGCCCCAGCAGCAGAACCCCTGCAGGGCACAGGATAGGCCACCCGCCCAGGAGGCGTGTGATGCATTGCCTAACCTCCCGGCGCTAAGTCCCCTCGAAGCTTTGCGCTGATACCCGTCTCTCCGTCCTGTCTCCGCCAGCCGAGCAGCGTGACCTGTCCCGTCAGAGCTACGCGCAGCTGCGGTACTTCATCCTGCAGGCCGCCATCCCGGCGGTGGCGAAGCGCCACGGCTTCACCTCCATGCCGACCCGCTGGCCGCCCCCACCGCCCGGCGGTGACCCGGGCGACGACGAGCTCGCGGACGGCACCAACGACCTGCCGCCGGCGTTCCGGCTCGGGCCGCCGGCCCTCGAGGTCCCCGTCGACGCCTCCATCCAGTCGCTGCTCGAGTGGCGCTACGTGAGCGGGGCGGCCCCTGGGGACACGGGCGCGCTGCTGGCGGGGCTCCTGCAGGTGAGTGGACGTCACGACCATACTGGATGTCAACAGTCAACATGAAGTCAGAGTTGGGCTTGCGCTCAGGCAAGGCGGACGTCGTTCGGGGACGGGGGCTTCTTCTCGACCATATTCAGACCGGTTAATGGTCAGTCTGGGCAAAGCGTGCAGACGTGCCGAGACCACCTAATCCAACCCTCCATTTTTTCCAGCTTCAGTTCCGTCCAAGAGTTTTGTCTCTGGTGATACAACGAATGTAATCTGGACGCAACTGCGGGCTGCTACGCGGGTATACACGTCCGCGCGCTCTCAACGGTTGATAAATGAATTCGCTTTCCCAAGCTTAGAAATTAGCAGAGACAATGCGGATCATTTTTTTGCTCGTGAGCGGCGTGGCGCTCCCGTCCCCCTCCTCCACCCTCGGCCCCTCAGCGGCGCCGCTCCGTTAGGCAGGCAGCCCCCGTTCTTCTTGACCCAGCTGATTGCTTTCTGTTTGCAGATGTACACAGACGCCCAGTTCAAGGCGCCGCACGCCTTGCAGCTACGGCTGCTGGCCTCCCGGACGGCGCAGCTGTTTGCCTACCGCTTCGATCAGCCGGGCCCCGACCTGCTGGGCTCCGGCTACCCCGGTGAGGAGCGGCAGCG